GCTTAATACTTCAAGCTCGGCCTGGTCCACATATATTTAAACTTACACCTTTTGTGTATAATGTATACATATGTATACATGTTATTTTACATTATATTATATATTTTAATATAGATCTTATAACATGACATGTATAATTTATATTATATGTAATATTTTATATTATATAATATATAAAATAAAATTTTATATGCATGTTATGTCATAATATAAAATATTATAGATATGTAATGTTTTATATATGAAAGACATTGGCCCAGAATTAGGCCCGGCCCAGCCCGGGCCCATGTTGACCTAGGCTAGGGCTTATGTTACAAGCCTGGAACCCCAGGCCAGGGCCTAAGCTATATCCCTTATTATAAGTGCAAAATCCGAGCCGAACCGGCCCATGATCACCCCTACCTCAATCCCTATTCCCGACCCTGACCTTGATCGGAGATTGCTATTAATCCCCATCCTCAGCCCTATCGGGTCGGAAAAATCGAATCCGGATTTATTTAATTTGATAGGGGCACATCTTTGTTGATTTAATTTGATACTTGACACATTAGATCTGGTCAATTTAATTTTGATATGGCCAAACCACATTTTGCATACTTTTTATGGGATATTGATGGAAGCATGAAGAAGACTTCATTATTTGGGCTCTCCTTGCTGCCCCGACTTCCCCATGCCAGTGAGTGAGTGACTACGTACCATCACAAATCAAATTGTGTTTAAGTTATTGAGATTTAAATCTGTAATTAAGCATGATAATTGTAGATCTTTCAATGTCCATCAACACAACACCATGACCTTTAGGCTTTATCAGATGGTTGTCGGACGTGGGGAGCGCTGGCCAGTGGTCCCCCTCCCCCCCCCCCCCCCCCCCCCCTGTATGTACTTTCTACTTAAGGTTTTGAAAGTGTGTGTGGTCCTAATTCCTATTACAAGATAAGGTCTAACCTTTGCTTTTTTTGCCATGCTACCACCTGGTTATTTGTTAGTGGTCCCAACGCCATTACTCATTACTGGGTGTTGTATTCGTCCTCCCCAAACCTTCTCCATTTACCAAAAGAAGCATAAAAAGGTAAACTTACAGGCTGCGAACTAAATCGGTATAATTGGTTACAGTAACTAGACTTGTTTTTTTCATTATTTTGAACCTTGCAATTAACTGCTTTAGGGTAGGAAAGAAAAAACAGATATCAAAATTTTGCTTTTAGGGCCGGGTATATGGATTACAGCTATTTTCAAGCTTCATCTCCACTCTCATGGGTTTAATTTTTCTTCAATTCTGTGTGTTTTTGGCTTTGTTAAAGAAAGAACGAATGATGCTGAAATGGCTTTTTCACCAGGCTAAGTTTGGATTTTGGAAAGAGTACAAATACAAATATCTACAATATAAATGTATACAAAATATACTCTACATATTTGTATTTGTACTCTTTAGTTCCGAACTGAACCTCAGTTACCAAAAAAAAACTTGTAATTCATTGGTCGAAATAACGTAGGTTTTTTCAATGTATCAATAGAATTTTGATTCTAAAAGGACCCCAATATGTTTGCATCTTCACCTTACCTTTTATTCATTAGACAAGTTTTTACTTGAAAGGACTTTGCAAATGCCCAGAATAACGTCTTTCTTTACAGCAGCTTTTGAATTAAAGAGTAACAGTGTGAACCCTCCTTTGGCCCGAAAATTGAGGCACTTGGTGTGAAAATTTGGGGCAAAGTTGGTAGAAGAGCTCACACCGTTTCGTTAGGATAAATTAAAAAGTTGAAACCTTTGAGATGACAGCTGACATCACTCGAGAAAACCCTAGTTGACCTGATCAGTAGACATTTTTCATCTATTCATGTCTAATATTACGCCTTTGCATAACAAATTTAATATATATAATTCCAACAAATTTTGAATTCATCTCATTTTGTGGGTGTCAATAAAAAAAAAAAAAAAATCCATAGCTCCTACTAATAGAAGACATGGATTTTGATAAAAGCTAATAGTACAACAGGTTTATCATTATCATGGCTGAACCACAAAGTTGAAATAAGGATTAATTCAATAGGGTTGAGACGTTGAGTTGATCCTTGCTAAATGAGTACTGCATAAAAAAATAAATATCACGGGTGTACGTACGGGATGCATAAATCATGGGAGAGACTTAAGGTTAATGTGTCCACTGTCTAATCTCCATGTCTAACACAGGTGTAGGTGCAGCCGTGCAGAGCTGCTTTCATCTTCTTAAACATTCAATTCTTCTGAGAGCCTTCTTAGAGACTCGCCCCCAAGAATATTGTAATTATGGTCCCAACCTTGCAAGTTGCAGAGCCACATTTTTTTCTTCCCGATCGATGCTATTCGTACGTCTACGTTACCTCTAGGCTCTAGCAACTAAA